AGTCGAGGACTAAACCGGTCGTAAGTCGAGGACTACCCAACCGGTCGTAAGTCGAGGACTTTCCCTGCCCGGGAGCGCCACGCATGCATGGTTCCGCCCCCTGCGCCGGCCGAGGCGTAGCTGGCAAGCGGCAGAGACGGAGCAGGCCGACCACCAGCTGGCCCAGCCCAAGGGAGGTAAGGCACCCGCCGGAAAAGGGAAAAAAAATGGCGGACAGCCTTGCTTGGCGACCCCCATTAAATGGTCGATCGACCCCAAATGGGGTCCCGACCCACAGGTTGAGAACCACTGGTTTAGAAGAAGGAATAGTAGGGAGACAGGGAATGTTAAGGTCGATGTCACATCCCCAACCCCCAAATACTTTTTTCAATGGAGTGTTACAGTTTTGTGCCTAGTCCTTCTACCTAAATCAAGAACAAGTAATTCTCATTCAGCCCCCAAACCTATTCCTGACCCCTTCCAGGGCAGCCCAAAATCACACTGCTATCTTTGGGGAACAAATATTATACAAATGGCAGAACCCTTTCCTTTAAGTTTAGAGACATGCATTTGCCTCTCCCTTGGTCTAATTCTGTATTTGTCAACCTCAGCCACTGTACGATGTGTGGACTTCATTTCCCAGAATTCCTCAGCCAGCATGGAATTCTGGGACTTGAAGTCCAGACATCTGAAAATTGATAAAATTGAGAAACCCAGGCCTAATCGGGTTTTTTTGCCCTGAAAGCAACAACACCAACAAAATATTTCCAGATCTCCTGTGAAATTTCCACAATGAACTGAGTGCCATGCAGACTGTTTTTTAAAAAAAATCTACCTAGAAGAGGTTTAGTTCATGATGCAAGGACTCGCAATCGTCTGCCATTTTTGTGCAAGCCAGAAGGGGATTTTCCAAAGGGGATCTCCTCTTCTTCTGCCATGTGACAGATCACAGCATCCCCCCTTGCTGCTGCTCTCTGAAATCCACCGGACGGATCATCATGGTGCTTGCTTTGAGGGTATGCCCGGGCCCTTTCCAGTAGTGCCACTTCATGCCGTTGTATCTAATTGTGGCAGGATTGGGAGGGTAATAGATGCCATTCAGATTAGAAGGTCCACAAGCATCAAACCACCAGCCTGAAGGAGGCAGAGAAGGGGGAAAAAAGGAGACATGTTTAGGTTTAACAGGATTTGGCCCAAACATCAAAAGAGATGGTTCTCCTAATTTTCTAAGAGACGTTTGCAGAATAGATTGGATTAAACAAGTTTTGAATCACGTCACTGGTTTGTCCCATTGAGCCTCTCTCTATAGCAGTGATGGCGAACCTTTTAGAGACCGAGTGCAACCCAAAACCCACTTATTTATCGCCGTGGCCCATTGGATGGGCGTGGCTGTGGTGGTGATGGCAGACTGGGTGGGTGTGGCCAAGGTGGGCATGATCACCTCAATGTTGCTCGTGGGGAGGGACACCTGTGGGGGGTGGGCAGGGTTGGGGGAGATCCAAGGGGTCTCTGGCAGGTGGGAGGGTGGGCAGGAGGCTCGTCCTGCGGGGAGAGGTGAGGCAAGGCGAGACAGGGCGGGGTGCCATTGTCACAGGGCAAGGTGAGGCAGGGGCCGGGACGGCTGTTGCCTGACACCATCGGCCCCTGCACACAGAGGCCAGCAAACACATGGGTGCTGGGATGCATCCAGCCACATGGGACCTCGGCGAGTTAGCGGGTGGCTGGTTGAAGAGGGAGGGTTGCCATCTCCGGGGCATGGCGCACGTGCCCACAGAGAGGGCTCTGAGTGCCGCCTCTGGCACGCGTGCCTTAGGTTCGCCACCACTGCTCCATAGGGTGAGGGAACATAGCTTGATGGGCTAGCGTTTCGGAGTGCACCAGTCTTCCCCAACTCAGCACGGTTCTTTGGCGTGTGGGACTACAACTGCCCCAATTCCCAACCATCACTGAAGGTGGGAAGACTGGTCTATCTAGCCTGGGAAATTCCATGTTGGTTTTCATCCAAATTAGTTGGTGGAACAACAACGAGGAGGGCTGGAATTCAAGCTTCAGAGAACTTCTCAACTGCAAAAGCATGTGGCATTTGAGGCAGGAGAGGTGGGTTCTGCTGAACACGGGAGGAGATCCTGTCCCTTCTTTTCACACTTCCTCCGTTCATCACCCTGCTGCCTCCTTCCACCCAGTTGCTATAGGAGCCCATTTGGGGGTTGGTCAGTTCTTCTAACAAGCCATTACAAGGAGGTCCCCTCTCTACACCAACTATTCTGCAGCAAATTGTGAAGGAAAGGAGGAAAGGTTTGCAGCAACTCATTGCCCCTTGGGATCTGTTGGATGATGGCTGCTTTGTTCCTCCAAGTGGTAGGCAGGACCCAAATAAGGTGTTTACATTATGCTAAGCCTGTGGTGGCGAACCTATGGCGCACAGGTGGCATGCAGAGCCCTCTCTGTGGGCACGCGCACGGTCGCCCCAGTCCTAGGCCTTCAGCTGGGTTTTATAAAACCTTTTCGCTTTAGGCCTCCACCGCCGTGTGCAAAAAAAAAAAAAGTTCAATCAGTGAATTTCAACTTCTCGCGGGGAAAAAAAGATCTCGCAAAGTTGGGATTGATTGATTGAACTTTTTAGTCCCACCCAGTTTGCCGTTACCACCACAGCCATGCCCACCCAATGGGCCACGCCCACCCAATGGGCCACACCCACCTGGCACTTGACTATACATAAGTGGGTTTTGGGTTGCAGTTTGGGCACTCGGTCTCTAAAAGGTTCGCCATCACTGTGCTAAGCCATGCCAAGGGGCATTTGAGTTTGGCTTCCAGAAGCAGCATCTGCAAGTTGGCAGTCGCAGCAGTAAGACTGAAGCCCTTTTTATGAAGGTCAATATATCACATGGAGGTACAAAATGGCAGGATTTTGACCGTGGTGCTGCGACTGGGACAACCGTGTTGTACAAACCTAACAATCCTGGTATGTAAAGCATGGTTAAGACTTAAACTGATGTGTGAACCCAACTCAGCCCAATGTCTATGGAGATTCTCAGTCATCCAGGTCCTGGTTGTCCCAAAGGTGCTTTTTTCACGAGGCAACTGGACTTTCTTTGTTTCTCTCTGAAGGCGTTTCGCTTCTCATCCAAGATGCTTCTTCGGCTCCGACTGGATGGTGGGGAACGGCAGAACTGCAAGGAGTGTAAATCCTGCCATTCCCCAGTTAGAGCTGAAGAAGCTTCTTGTACGAGTAGCGAAATGTCTGCAAAGTAAAAAAAAGAAAGTCCAGTTGCCTCGTGAAAAAAGCACCTTTGGGACAACCCAACCCAACGTGCTATTTTCCTGAGCTATAGCTCCACATTATACGTGAAGTCAGATAATCGGAGAAACAGAGGGAAAAATTTGCACACTAGCACCAGCTACGGTAGTGATTTCTGCCTAATGGAGACACCCTGCCTAGAATCAGGAAATTTTCTGGTAGTTACCTCTTGGCTCTTGACTCCTTCATTGTGAGCTTCTGGCCATTCCCTCTTAATCTTAATTATCTGAAGTCACTAAAAACCCTCGTATTAAGAACAGAACCAACCGCATATTTTAAGCATTATTTTGTCACGTGGCACTTAGTTCTTAGGGATCTTCTGCACTTTGCAGGACTTGTCCCGCTTAAGCTTAATAATAATAATGATGATGATAAAGTTGGAAGGGACCTTGGAGGTCATCTAGTCCAACCCCCTGCTCAGGTAGGAAACCCTATACCATTTTGGACAAATGGCTGTCCAGTTTCTTCTTAAAAACTTCCAGTGTTGGCGTGTTCACCGCTTCTGGAGGCAGGTTGTTCCACTGGTTAATTGTTCTCACTGTCAGGAAGTTTCTCCTTAGTTCTACATTGCTTCTCTCCTTGATTAGTTTCCATCCGTTGCTCCTTGTACTGCCTTCAGGCGCTTTGGAGAATAGCTTGACTCCCTCTTCTTTGGGGCAGCCCCTGAGATATTGGAACACTGCTATCATGTCCCCCCTCGTCCTTCTCTTCGTTAAACTAGACATACCCAAAACTTCAGGAAGTTTTTGAGTTCAGGATCTGTTCGGGAGGGGGGGGGCATATATCAGAAGCCACGATGATGTCTGCAACTGTACAAACTAAGTCCTACTTTGCAGAACTGCAGACATCATCTTGATTTTTCTTGACACTCCCAATCGATGGCCCTGCTTGGCTAATTCTCAGAAGGATAGGCCTACAGAAGGAGGATGGCCCACTCCCCTCTCATTACCTCCACCTGCCATCTGGGCACATTTGCACGCGCATCGATCATGGTCAGCATCCTTGGTGCTGAAGTCGGTTCCGGAGGGGCTGAGACTGCTGGTGCGTCCGGCCGTTCCACTGTATCTCCTTGCATAAAGTCTGCCGGAGATGGAGCAAAGAAGCTGCCATCAACAATAATTCACAATTTGATTCTCCTCTCAGACCCCAAACACAAAGTGCTTACAGGTAGTCCTCAAACTTACAACTTTCATTTAATGACCGCTCAACAACAGCACTGAAAAAAAGTGACTTACAGTAGTGGCCAAAATTGTGGAAACCTTTTGGGAAAAGTGTACGGTAGAAATGCCACCTTTGGTTAAGTTTCCACCCATTTTTCTTCTAATTTCTTTATAACTCTAGCCTTGTTCACGTAATAATACTATTTTACATTGCTTTCTGGGCAACCAGTCAACTCTTTGCACCGTCGCTTTAATTTTATTACGTTTTACAAGCTCACTAAATGAAAGAACACAAAAATACCCCAACCAACTGGATAGCGATCACATAACCCAGTGACAAATGTCCTCCTCTCGGCTTCAATCCGTGACACCAATAACCGAATCCTACTGTGATCTGACTGGCTCATTGCCAAAACAAGATGATACCCGATTGGCTCTCTAAACACTCATGCTCATTGACTACAATCAGGTGAAAGAAAGCTACCTGATATCAACCTAAGCAAGTTGTGCTTCCTTTTTCTCGTTATTTGGCTATAACTTTTCATAGAATGCAGTAGAGATAATTGAACAAACTATGTTGCATTACATTCTTGATTAAATTATCTTTCCATTGATATATAATTTTATGGTACTACTCCCCAAAAAAGTGATGTTATTAGCCATCAAGCCTCAAAAATACACTTTTCCCAAAAGGTTTCTACAATTTTGGCCACTACTGTATGACCATTGTTCACACGTTCAACCATTGCAGTATCCTACACACACACACACACACACACACACACACACACACAGTTATAGGTTGAAATTGTGCAAGGGTTGGAAACAGAGTGCTCAAAATCATTCAAGACAGCCCACAGGACATACATAAAACCCGACCAATTTTGGGGAAATTACACTTGGCCCAAATTGTACAAGATCGCCAAATGATCTTCCTATGTGAGAATGTATCAGATTTGGAGTATTCTCCAGGTATGACAATTAACCCCCAGAATTCTCAGCAGGGGCCTTGGGGAAATTTTAGGAGCTGAAGGTCACACATCTGTTGGGGGCAGGATTCCAGGTGTCGACAAACAATTAAGCAAAGAGACCACAGATGTTCCGTGAAAAGGCTCACCGATAGTTCTGCTCCTCGGAGTCTACTTGGAAATGCTCAAAGGCAGAATAAGCCTCATTGTTCTCCCAGTCTTGGAGCTTGATCCGGAGGGAGTAGCGGTTCTGTGTGGTGAGCAAGTGGATGAACTGATTGCCCAACCAGTACTCTCCAGATGGGGACCCAAAGCCCTGTCAGAAAGCATGAGACGGCGTTGAAAAAGCTCTGGTACAAAATATCTTTATTCATTTGTTAACTTTATTAGCCGCCTACCTCACTGTGGGGCTACTCTAGGCTACTTACAATAATAAAAAGGAAGAAAAGAGGGAGAATAGAGGGAGATTTATTTGATGATCTAAAAGCGCTGATATGGAAGCCTAGTTGGCAAAGGAAGAAAGCTAGAATAAGGTTGACAAAATTGGGGTTTTGATTCATTAGAGGGGATTTTATATTGTCAGTTAGGGGGTTAAAGGGAGATGTTGAGATAAGGGGAATTTTAGATTTAAAATAGTTGGAAATCAGTTGAAAATAAAGATTTGATTTCTTTAATATTGAAAAATTAGATCTAAAAGGGAAAAGAAAATTCTAGAGGATGCAGAAATGGACAGATTGACTTTAAAGATGAAAGAGAAAGAAGACTCAGTGTACTTTAGAACATGGGATAATTTCTATCAATGGCTAGAAAAACGAGTCAGAGAAAGGAACGTGATACAGTATGTAATTTTGAATATATATTAGCAAGAAGAAGGCTATTGAGTGATGAATTAACATATTGGTTATGGTAATTAACTATATCTATTATTGTTAGTTAAATACATGTACCCAGACTTTATGCTGTTTGTTAAAGATCAAAAATGTTATTTGGAAATACCCCAACCCCAACCCTAACCCTAACCCAAATCCCAACCCTAATCCTGACCCCATCTTATCCCTATCCCTATAAAAACTAATAACATCTATAGAGCCTAGAACCAGCCTGGCTCAGAGTCACAAAAATATTGGTCAAGAAAACACCTGGCAACTTGGCGGGGATTGAACAGAAGTCCAGCACTTGCAAGCTCTGTTCCTACGGATTGCAATAGATGGATTTTTCTGAGAAAAATAGGGACAATGCTTCTTGCTCAATCTTCTCCAGTCTTTCTCTAGTCTTCAATGTGTAAAAAATCAGTCGGGATCCAATTCATTCTGGGTTCCTCCATCGGGGTAAAGTCAGAGAAACTTAGATCAGTTCTTACCTGTTTATATTCCTTCCAGGTGCGTTGGAAATCCACAGAGCCGTCTCTCCGGTGTTGGATAACGGTCCAGCCTCCTCCGCTGGTCTCCATGTCACACAGCACCTGGAAGGATGTCAGAGTCTCCGTGGAAGAGCAGTTTCTGACCACTTGACAAGTAAGTGGTTCAGCACAGGGGAAACTCCACTAACTACCATTTTTCTTCCAGATTTAATTTAAAAAAGGATACTGACCAGGACATTTTAGTCTTTAAATGATAAAGACATCTAAACTACCATCTTCTTTCTCCTGTCAATCAACTATGTGCTAGCGTCATTCTTGGGAGGATCAGAAACAGGTCCTTCTTAGTGGGAGTGCCCAAATTATAGAATTTCATTTTTTCTAGACATCAGGTGAAATCTATTCCCTTTTTGGAAGCTTTTAATAGTATTTGANTTCTAATTTCTTTATAACTGTAGCCTTGTGGTCGTATGTTGAAGACTACCTGTACCTCTTTCCCCTGAGAATCATAGACACACAGGTCTAACAGAAACACCTGCATTAAACAGAGACACACACACAAACACACAAATAACCTTGTTCGTCAAGTTGCAGTTTCTTGGAATTCCTGAATTCTGGTGCTAAAAGGTACAACTGTCTGAGACACTAGTGCAGGGCTTTTCAACCAGTGGTACGGGTACCACCTGTGGCACATTGGCACCTGGCAGGTGGTACGCGACCATCCTAGAAAAGTGGTAGCGGGGGAGGGGAATGAGCTGAACCGGTGGCAGCATCGCACAAGCCTGAGCGAGAGACGGCTGGAGCTGCAGGGCTGTCAGGGCTCAGCGGAAGCGCCAGGATCAGTGCCGCTTTCCAGCTGATCAGCACTTCGGGGCTGTCAGGGCTTAGTGGAAGCGCCAGGATTAGCACCAGGCTCCAGCTGGAGCTCGGCGGTGATCCTGGTGCTTCTGCTGAGCCCAGAAGAAGCGCCGATCAGCTGGAATGTTGCAGCATCTCCAGGGTCTTGTGATTTACATTCAGATGCTTGGCAACTGATTCATATTTATGACGGTCACAGTGTCCCAGGGTCATGTGAAGTGACCAAAACCTGCTGCAACCACCCAGCAGACGGGGGGGGGAATAAAAACCAAACACCCCCCACCCTACCCCCGCTGCCAATCCTCAACAGAAATGCTCACAACAATGGAAACCTCAGACAGGAGGAAGAGCGCCGCCGGGTGGGCAGACAGGTGTCTTGCTCGGCTGTGCTTTGGGGGGGCACTTTTTTCAGTGCCATTGTAACTTCAAACAGTCACTAAGCGAACTGTTTTAAGTCGAGGACTACCTGTACTTTATCACTTTTTTCCGTTGTTTTTTTTTGGTCATCAAGTTTTTGACCCCTTGCTAGGCGACTGGTGGTACTCGGATGTTGCCATATCCTAAAAGTGGTAGAATGGGTGAAAAGGTTGAAAAGCCCTGCACTAGTGCACACTCAGGGCGAAGCATTTGCCTCTCCCGTGGTCTAATTCTGTATTTCTCAACCTCAGCCACTGTACGATGTGCGGACTTCAACTCCCAGAATTCCTCAGCCAGCGTAGAATTCTGGGACTTGAAGTCCAGACATCTGAAAATTGATAAAGTTGAGAAACCCAGGCCTAATTGTTTTTTTTGCCCCTGAAAGCAACAACAACAACAACAAAATATTTCCAGATCTCCTGTGAAATTTCCACAATGAACTGAGTGCCAGGCAGACTGTTTTTTTTAAAAAATCTACCTAGAAGAGGTTTAGTTCATGATGCAAGGACTCGCAATCGTCTGCCATTTTTGTGCAAGCCAGAAGGGGATCTCCTCTCCTTCTGCCATGTGACAGATCACAGCATCCCTCCTTGCTGCTGCTCTCTGAAATCCACCGGACGGATCATCATGGTGCTTGCTTTGAGGGTATGCCCAGGCCCTTTCCAGTAGTGCCACTTCATGCCGTTGTATCTAATTGTGGCAGGATTGGGAGGGTAATAGATGCCATTCAGATTAGAAGGTCCACAAGCATCAAACCACCAGCCTGAAGGAGGCAGAGAAGGGGGAAAAAAGGAGAAATGTTTAGGTTTAACAGGATTTGGCCCAAACATCAAAAGAGATGGTTCTCCTAATTTTCTAAGAGACGTTTGCAGAATAGATTGGATTAAACAAGTTTTGAATCACGTCACTGGTTTGTCCCATTGAGCCTCTCTCTACTAGACATACCCAAAACTTCAGGAAGTTTTTGAGTTCAGGATCTGTTCGGGAGGGGGGGGGCATGTATCAGAAGCCACGATGATGTCTGCAACTGTACAAACTAAGTCCTACTTTGCAGAGCTGCAGACATCATCTTGATTTTTCTTGACACTCCCAATCGATGGCCCTGCTTGGCTAATTCTCAGAAGGATAGGCCTACAGAAGGAGGATGGCCCACTCCCCTCTCATTACCTCCACCTGCCATCTGGGCACATTTGCACGCGCATCGATCATGGTCAGCATCCTTGGTGCTGAAGTCGGTTCCGGAGGGGCTGAGACTGCTGGTGCGTCCGGCCGTTCCACTGTATCTCCTTGCATAAAGTCTGCCGGAGATGGAGCAAAGAAGCTGCCATCAACAATAATTCACAATTTGATTCTTGTGGAAACCTTTTGGGAAAAGTGTACGGTAGAAATGCCACCTTTGGTTAAGTTTCCACCCATTTTTCTTCTAATTTCTTTATAACTCTAGCCTTGTTCACGTAATAATACTATTTTACATTGCTTTCTGGGCAACCAGTCAACTCTTTGCACCGTCGCTTTAATTTTATTACGTTTTACAAGCTCACTAAATGAAAGAACACAAAAATACCCCAACCAACTGGATAGCGATCACATAACCCAGTGACAAATGTCCTCCTCTCGGCTTCAATCCGTGACATCAATAACCGAATCCTACTGTGATCTGACTGGCTCATTGCCAAAACAAGATGATACCCGATTGGCTCTCTAAACACTCATGCTCATTGGCTACAATCAGGTGAAAGAAAGCTACCTGATATCAACCTAAGCAAGTTGTGCTTCCATTTTCTGGTTATTTGGCTACAACTTTTCATAGAATACGGTACATATAATTGAACAAACTATGTTGCATTACATTCTTGATTAAATTATCTTTCCATTGATATATAATTTTATGGTACTACTCCCCAAAAAAGTGATGTTATTAGCCATCAAGCCTCAAAAATACACTTTTCCCAAAAGGTTTCTACAATTTTGGCCACTACTGTATGACCATTGTTCACACGTTCAACCATTGCAGTATCCTACACACACACACACACACACACACACACACACAGAGTTATAGGTTGAAATTGTGCAAGGGTTGGAAACAGAGTGCTCAAAATCATTCAAGACAGCCCACAGGACATACATAAAACCCGACCGATTTTGGGGAAATTACACTTGGCCCAAATTGTACAAGATCGCCAAATGATCTTCCTATGTGAGAATGTATCAGATTTGGAGTATTCTCCAGGTATGACAATTAACCCCCAGAATTCTCAGCAGGGGCCTTGGGGAAATTTTAGGAGCTAAAGGTCACACATCTGTTGGGGGCAGGATTCCAGGTGTCGACAAACAATTAAGCAAAGAGACCACAGATGTTCCGTGAAAAGGCTCACCGATAGTTCTGCTCCTCAGAGTCTACTTGGAAATGCTCGAAGGCAGAATAAGCCTCATTGTTCTCCCAGTCTTGGAGCTTGATCCGGAGGGAGTAGCGGTTCTGTGTGGTGAGCAAGTGGATGAACTGATTGCCCAACCAGTACTCTCCAGATGGGGACCCAAAGCCCTGTCAGAAAGCATGAGACGGCGTTGAAAAAGCTCTGGTACAAAATATCTTTATTCATTTGTTAACTTTATTAGCCGCCTACCTCACTGTGGGGCTACTCTAGGCTACTTACAATAATAAAAAGGAAGAAAAGAGGGAGAATAGAGGGAGATTTATTTGATGATCTAAAAGCGCTGATATGGAAGCCTAGTTGGCAAAGGAAGAAAGCTAGAATAAGGTTGAAAAAATTGGGGTTTTGATTCATTAGAGGGGATTTTATATTGTCAGTTAGGGGGTTAAAGGGAGATGTTGAGATAAGGGGAATTTTAGATTTAAAATAGTTGGAAATCAGTTGAAAATAAAGATTTGATTTGTTTAATATTGAAAAATTAGATCTAAAAGGGAAAAGAAAATTCTAGAGGATGCAGAAATGGACAGATTGACTTTAAAGATGAAAGAGAAAGAAGACTCAGTGTACTTTAGAACATGGGATAATTTCTATCAATGGCTAGAAAAACAAGTCAGAGAGAAAGGAACGTGATACAGTATGTAATTTTGAATATATATTAGCAAGAAGAAGGCTATTGAGTGATGAATTAACATATTGTTTATGGTAATTAACTATATCTATTATTGTTAGTTAAATACATGTACCCAGACTTTATGCTGTTTGTTAAAGATCGAAAATGTTATTTGGAAATACCCCAACCCCAACCCTAACCCTAACCCAAATCCCAACCCTAATCCTGACCCCATCTTATCCCTATCCCTATAAAAACTAATAACATCTATACAAAAAGAAAAGAAAAGAGAAAGATAGAGCCTAGAACCAGCCTGGCTCAGAGTCACAAAAATATTGGTCAAGAAAACACCTGGCAACTTGGCGGGGATTGAACAGAAGTCCAGCACTTGCAAGCTCTGTTCCTACTGATTGCAATAGATGGATTTTTCTGAGAAAAATAGGGACAATGCTTCTTGCTCAATCTTCTCCAGTCTTTCTCTAGTCTTCAATGTGTAAAAAATCAGTCGGGATCCAATTCATTCTGGGTTCCTCCATTGGGGTAAAGTCAGAGAAACTTAGATCAGTTCTTACCTGTTTATATTCCTTCCAGGTGCGTTGGAAATCCACAGAGCCGTCTCTCCGGTGATGGATAACGGTCCAGCCTCCTCCATTGGTCTCCATGTCACACAGCACCTGGAAGGATGTCAGAGTCTCCGTGGAAGAGCAGTTTCTGACCACTTGACAAGTAAGTGGTTCAGCACAGGGGAAACTCCACTAACTACCATTTTTCTTCCAGATTTAATTTAAAAAAGGATACTGACCGGGACATTTTAGTCTTTAAATGATAAAGACATCTAAACTACCATCTTCTTTCTCCTGTCAATCAACTATGTGCTAGCGTCATTCTTGGGAGGATCAGAAACAGGTCCTTCTTAGTGGGAGTGCCCAAATTATAGAATTTCATTTTTTCTAGACATCAGGTGAAATCTATTCCCTTTTTGGAAGCTTTTAATAGTATTTGATTACCTATTATAATTATCCGCAGGTTTGTATTTTGCCTATTATTGCTTTATATAGTGAGTGGATTTATACATTACCTAAAATGTAACTATGATGTTTACACTTAATAGTCTAAGCCAGGGGTAGGCAACCTCGGCTCTTTTATGACTCATGGACTTCAACTCCCAGAATTCCTGAGTCAGCTAGGCTGACTCAGGAATTCTGGGAGTTGAAGTCCATGAGTCATAAAAGAGCCGAGGTTGCCTACCCCTGGTCTAAGCGATGTAAACCTAAACCAGCTTAAATTATGGTTCATGTCTAGGTTCATTTATGATGTAAAGCCAAAATTAAACCTATCACATTATGGCTTAATGTGACATTTGGACACAGCTGTTGTAACTTAGCTTTATAAGTAGACCTCAACTCATGACCACCTTTGGGATCTGGATTTCTGTTGCTAAGTGAGGCAGTTATGAAGTAAGTGGTGTCCAGTTAAGTGAATCACTGCACTTGTTAAGTGAACCAAGTGATTGTTAAGTGAATTCATCTTCCCCCATTGATCTTGCTTGTCAGAAGATCGCAAGCGGTGATCACATGATCCCAGGCCATTGCAGCGGATGCCAGTTGCCGAATGCCTGAATTTTGATCACATGACCATTGGAATGCTGCAATGGTCGTAAGCACAAGGACCAGTCCTAAGTCACTTATCTCAGTACTATTATAACTTTGAACGATTGCTAAATGAATGGCGTCTCAAAGGTGCTTTTTTCACGAGGCAACTGGGCTGTCTTGTTTTTCTTTGAAGATGTTTCGCTTCTCCTCCAAGAAGCTTCTTCAGCTCTGACTGGATGTTGAGGAAGGGAAGGATTTATACTCCTTGTCCCCGACACAGATAAACCTCCAGGTGGCCTCAACGACTCTATAAAAGATTGCAAATGACCAGCTGTCTGCAAGGAGTATAAATCCTTCCCTTCCCCACCATCCAGTCAGAACCTGATGAAGCTTCTGGGATGAGAAGCGAAACGTCTTCAGAGAAAAACAAGGAAGTCCACTTGCCTCTTGAAAAAGCGCCTTGGGGACAACCACGACCTGGAGGACGGAGAATGCCCATAGACATTTAAATGGATGGTGATAAGTTGAGGTCTACCTGTACATAGGTTCCGTCATAAGAATGTACTCAACCAGTCGTGCTTACGAATACTGTGGCTTTGTCTGACGTATGAACCCTGCCTGTCTAGAAGGACAAAGAACATGCACGCACTTTTACAGTGGCCGTAGTATTGGGGAGCCGAAGGGTGTAGACTCCGCTGGTGGAGAACCCCAATTTGTATGCAGCTGCACAGTCCTTGAAGACCTTCTGCTCATCTGGCTGGCTGAACGAAAGGTCTGTGGGGTGAGATCAAAAGCCATTTTAAGTACAGTTGCCCAGTTAGGGTAGGGAAGTTCATCAATTACATTGTTGTAAGGCTGAATTCACCCTCTTTGCAATAAAATGTCTCTGTGTTAGGGATACCCGGAGACCTGGCAGAGCCAGATGGAAGATTTCCAAGGAGCAAAGCAGTTTTTCAAACAGACCCTGAGGAGCACCTGGATCCTAAAGTTTGTCTGCCTGTTTTGGGCTGCTGATTCCTGGAACGCCCATGTGACCTGCAACTTGTGAGGTCATCTAGAGATTTTAGGAAGTATTAAAGTATTAAAGGAGAGAATATTTGTAGCTGAGGGTTGAACTGGGGCGTCCTTGGTGCTCTCTGAGCTTGGCTGTTTTCTTGCAAATGTTTCATTACCCAACCTCTGAAGATATTACCTAGTGGGGTAATGAGATAGCTACAAGAAAACATCCCAGCTCAGACAGCACCAGGGACTCCACATTTTATGAAGTGCTAACAGCGAAGGAAAACCGCTGCATAGTTCTTAGATTTTATAAAGTCTGAGGATCCCTTATCCACATTGTGATGGATTTTTTTTTTACTGCAAAAAGACACACACCACTTGGACTTCACTTGATTACTTATTGCCTTGCTTATTCTCACCAGATTTCATATCCTAATTGGGCCAGATGGCCAAGCCTTGCTTAGGGGAAGTTACTTACGATTGCACTGGGACACTAAGCCTATGAGATGCTTCACTGTCTCCGCCAAAGACGTCTGTTGTTTGTGGAGGGCTGTGTTGTTCAGCAAGGCAGCACCCAGGCGTTGCTCCAGATGCCCAACAAGATCCACCTGGTTGGAGAGAAGCTTCTGCATTTCCATCTTCTCGGTCCTCAGGCCCTGTAGCTCCTCCTCACGTTGGTTTTCAATAGCCAGCACTTTCTTCTCTAGGAAGCTGAAGAAAAGAGACAGTTTATGCTGATTCTCAAACCCAGAGTTGATGCAGCTCTTTGTGTACCAGGAAAAGAGAATATTCGTAGCTCGGGGTTGAAATGAGGGGTCCTTGGTGCTCTCTGAGCTTGGTTTATTTCTTGCAGATGTTTCATTATCCAGCTACATAACATCCTCAGTGCAGCCAGTGGAATAGCTTGCCTTCAGAAGTTGTGGGTGCTCCAACACTGGAGGCTTTTAAGAAGGGACTGGACAACCATTTGTCGAAAATGGTTTAGGGTCTCCTGTTTGAACGGGGGGTTGGACCAGAAGACCTCCAAGGTCCCTTCCAACTCTATTATTCTGTTAGTTTACCACAAGGATGGGTATGTTGGGTTGGGTTGAGGAAACACTTCCCCACATGATCGGGGCTTGTTCGATTAATATTCTATTTTGATAGTTAAAAAAACTGGGTTTTTTTTATAGTTTCAATCGTTTAAAAAAGCTGTTAACAGATCACTGCTGTTTAGAGAAATTGCTTTTGAATGCTATACCTGTCGTTTGGAAGAATTATGTAAAGAATTATAATGCTTGCTGGGGAGCAAAGGAAATAATTCAGCACTAGAAAAACAGAGTTACTGTAGATTTATAATCTTGGACTATAGTTTTATGTTCACTTATTGTTATTCCCTTGTCGACTCGGTGGAAAGACTGCTGAATATTTCTTTTCATGGTCAAAGCTCAACTATATATTTAAACTTTACGGTGATATATATATAAAGCTTTCCATGGAGAGAGAGAAAGAGAGGAGAGAGAGGAGAGAGAGAGAGAGAGAGAGAGAGAGAGAGAGAGAGAGAGAGAGAGAGATCCCCATGAAAAGATCCATACACACAGAGCACATTCCATGTTTAAACAAGCTTTTATATTCCCCAACTTTCTTTTGCATCTTATTCACTGAATAGAGTCTACTCAGAAAATGCTATCCCCATCCACTTTATTCCAAAAAATTTCACATCTGTATCGGTTTACTCAGAAGAAGGAAAGCAGCAATCATGGTCACTTTTTTTTGTAGCTCATCTAGGCAAGGTGACATTTATCCATCCACCTACCCATCCAACGCTTCTGACTGGTTTTCCAACAGAAATTTCTCCAGCTATGCCTAGAGGTGATGAATCCCCTCTCCGCAAGAAACCAAAATGTTTGTCATCCTTGCAAAGTTGCCCAGATCAGAAAGCTGAGTCCACAAGAAGACGAGATCTAAGTTTTACTGCAAGGCTGGTTGTGATTTTGCTCTTCTCTGTCCTTAACCCCAGTGAGTCAGGGAGAAGATAGTCCGAGTCTCTTCCTAACACTAACATCTTTTCTGGGACTTCTGCTCTTTTTGGGGTTTTGTAATGGTTTCTCAATGTTCCCCTCCTCTCCAGAGCTCTACGATGCCACAACTGCACTAGGATTACACAAATGTGCTTGGATTAAGTGGGCTTCACTCAGCGGTGGGATTCAGCCCGTTCGCACCAGTTCGGCAGAACCAGTAGCTAATTTTTTGTTGCCCAGGCCCAGAATGGACTTCCGGAAGCGGCATCCACACAGAGAACCAGATGTTCACGTATTTAAATCCCACCACTCCTTCCTTCCTTCCTTCCTTCCTTCCTTCCTTCCTTCCTTCCTTCCTTCCTGTCTGTGGTGGGATTCAGCCACTTCGCACCAGTTCAGCAGAACCAGTAGCTAATTTTTTATTTCCCAGGCCCAGAAAGGACTTCCAGAAGCAGCATCCACACAGAGAACTGGTTGTTCACATATTCGAATCCCACCATTCCTTCCTTCCTTCCTTCCTTCCTTCCTTCCTTCCTTCCTTCCTTCCTTCCTTCCTTCCTTCCTTCCTTCCTTCCTTCCTCCCTCCCTCCCTCCCTCCCTCCCTCCTTCCTTCCTTCCTTCCTTCCTTCCTTCCTTCCTGTGGTGGGATTCAGCCATTTCGCACCAGTTCTGCAGAACCGGTAGCTAATTTGTTGTTGCCCAGGCCCAGAATGGACTTCCAGAAGCAGCATCCACGCAGAGAACCGGTTGTTCACCTGTTTGAATCCCACCACTGGCTTCACTGATTCCTCATGAATTAAACATAAAGCCAAAGAGGACTAACCTGTTTCTCTCCTGGAGTCTGCTGATCTCGTGAGTCTGCAGAAGCAGCTGTTTCTCAAGCTTGTTGGTAGACAGGGAATTTTCCAATACTTGAATTTCCAGGCGGGATGTTTGGTTGAGGACCTGGTTAACAGAAAACCGGGTTACATCAGAGAGCAGAAACAGCAGGGAACATCTCCTATATCTTTTCTTGACTTTTATGCATCGTTCTCCATCTTCAGGTGACTTGACTTCAGTTCAGTGTGCGATTTGTAAACCATGACTGGTGGCTTGAAATACACTACAGGTAATCCTCGACTTACGACAGCTCATTTTGTGACTGTTCAAAGTTATAACCCTGAAAAAAATTGATTTATGGCCGTTTTTCACAGTTGTGAACTTTGCAGCATCCCCATAATCACGTGATCACAGTTCAGACACTTGGCAACTGGTTCACACTTGTGACTGTGGTGTTGTCCCAAAGTCACGTGATCCTCTTTTGCGATCTTCTGACAAGCAAAGTCAATGGAGGGAACCAGATTCACTCAACAACCGGGTTACCAACTTATCACTTGCAGTGATTCCCTTAACCACTGTGGCAAAAAAGGTTATAAAATGGGGCAAAACTCACTTGACAAATGTCTCACTTAACGAAAAGAAATTTGGGGCTCCCTTGTGGTCGTAAGTCAAGGACTACCTGTATGAGCTGAAGTAATTCTGAGACAAACCAAGGATAACAATCCGAGAGACCTCACTGGTTGAGTGCTTCTTCCAAAGGTCCCTCAGATATTTATGATGGACCACCAGCAATCAAGCTGAATCACCTGATACCCTTAATCTGGCTAGCTAGGCCAGGGGTGGGGACCCTTGGCTCTTTTATGACTTGTGGACTTCAACTCCCAGAATTCCTAGACTTTCCCCTATACAGTACCAGGGATAGGGACCTTTGGCTCTTTTATGACTTGTGGAATTCAACTCCCAGAATTCCTAGACTTTCCCCTATACCAGGGATGGGGACCCTTGGCTCTTTTATGTCTTGTGGACTTCAACTTCCTTGAGTGTGCCTGTTCAAACCCTTCTACCTTTGCAGAAGCTACTCACGCTCTTCTGGATTTGCACAACTGAGCAAAGAGCATTTGGGCTGTTGCATTGGCGCCCAACTGAAGCTTCCAAATTGTCATCAGTGGCAGGCCAACATAGAGTACGTGGGTTTTGACGTTGGTTCTTGGTGGTTTAATATGCCGCAAGAACCTAGGCTACTTGTCCATTTGTGCAAATCCAGAAAAGCATGAATTCAGGGACCAGGTCAAACTTGTGATGGAAACCCAGAGATCATATTAAAGCCCAGTTTTGTTTTGGCATAGCTTCGGTAGCCACTGTGGTTTGTCATCTCAACTTTGATGTATTCAGTAAGCCAGGGGTCTTCAAACTTGGCCCTTTTATGACTTGTGGACTTCAGCTCCCAGAATTCCTCAGCCAGTGTGCCTGGCTGAGGAACTCTGGGAGTTGAAGTCCACAAGTCATAAAAGGGCCAAGTTTGAAGACTCCTGCAGTAAGCAATGGTGGAGCTATTGTGGCCTTGTAACTTGCCAAGAAATAGCCCTTCTCTAAAAAAATAATCACCAGAGATAAAATCCAGGAAAAGGCTACCAAAAGGAGATCAGCTTACCTGTATCTCTACATCAGTGAGCTTCCGGGTCTGCTCAGCAGTTTGATTCAGGAGGTTGGTCCCAATTTCCAACATGGCTGCCGTGTGGTCCTGTACAGAACTGAAATGGGTCTCTGAGATCTCTATTCTCACGTTTTCCTGGATGTAATTTTCCAGCTGAAAGAAAGAAGCAATGGGGATTAAAATCTGAGGGCTTGTCACAGAGAAGAGGGGTCAACCTATTCTCCAAAGCACCTAAGGACAGGAGAAAGGTAATGGTTAGAAGCTTACCAGACACAGATCCAACCTAGAATTAAGAAGAACTTTCCCATTAGCAAGAACAATTAATGGCTTGTCTTCAGAAGTTGTGGATGCCTCATCACTGGAGGGGTTTATTTAGGAACAGACTGGACAGCCATTTTTCCGAACTGTATAGAATCTCCTGCTTGAGCAAGGGGTTGAACTAGAAGACCTCCAAAGTCCCTTCCAAGTCTGTTATTCTGTATTCCTACTCTGTATTTTGTGTTTTAACTAGGGCTAACCAGCCTGCAAAGCATCTGCACCTATCATTCATTTGCTTCTTCATATATGGCAAGCAACAACATCTGATGTTAGCAGTCTTGACACCTATCTTCCTAGATATGTACATTACACAGTACCTTTATTTTGGCTTGATTCTTGCATCACCAATATCTTCTGATTGCAAAGTTTAAGCGAAGGGGAGCTTAAGAACTATACCACGTGTTTACTATTTTGCAAATCCCTAGACCAGTGGTTCTCAACCTTTTTAATGCCACGACCCCAACCGGTCGTAAGTCGAGGACTAAACCAGTCATAAGTCGAGGACTAAACCGGTCGTAAGTCGAGGACTACCCAACCGGTCGTAAGTCGAGGACTTTCCCTGCCTGGGAGCGCCGCGCATGTGTGGTTCCGCCCCCTGCGCCAGCCGAGGCATAGCTAGCAAACGGCAGAGACGGAGCAGGCCGACCACCAGCTGGCCCAGCCCAAGGGAGGTAAGGCACCCGCCAGAAAAAGGGGAAAAATGGCGGACAAAAAAAATGGCGGACAAAAAAATGGCGGACAGCCTTGCTTGGCGACCCCCATGAAATGGTCGATTGACCCCAAATGGGGTCCCGACCCACAGGTTGAGAACCACTGCCCTAGACAGTCACTTGTCTGAGATGGTATAGGTCAGTGGTGGCGAACCTATGGCACGCATGCCAGAGGGGGCACTCAGAGCCCTCTCTGTGGGCACGCGCGCCATCGCCCCAGCCCCTCCTCCCCCCGGCCCCCTCCTCACCAGCAGCCCCCCCAAAGGGGAGTCACCCCCAGGCGTGGCCTGCGCGGAGCAGCCCAGCCAAGGACATGGCAGCCGAGCAGCGGGGACAAGACTCCGCCCTCGCACCCCATCGCGCGCAGATGATGCTGCGGGCCGTGGAGGTGATGGGTGGCCCTGCGGGTGGGTGGTGGGTGGGGGACAGTGCGGCACAAGGGTGGGGCAGTTTTGGGGCACTCGGTCTCTAAAAGGTTCGCCATCACTGGTATAGGTTCTCCTGCTTGAGCTGTGGGCTGGAGTAGAAGACCTCCAAGGTCCCTTCCAGCTCTATTCTATTCTATTTTATATCATTCATTTGCTGACTCAGCCAGTTCTGTCCCAGCTGAATTAACCTTGCCCTCTGGACAAAGGAATTAAGGTTGGGTCAGATAAAGACAGTTGGCATGATCATTTTAAGCTTCCCATTTTATCACCTTGAACATGATAATTTGGAGACAACAGTGGGAGGCCTCCAGGACTATGTCTGTCCCTCCCTTCCTGTTCCCTGATCCCGGGCAGTTTCTGGATAAGCAGGGTCTGGTTTAGGAATCTAGGAGAGTGACCATGTGCCAACATAGCTGGAGGCTGTTGGGTTGGGCAAGATTGCGTAGTGGAGGAAACAACCATCTGCCTTTATGTCTCCCATGGACATACTATGACCCTGAAGAAGCAGAAAAGAGACAGAGGATTCTAACCATCTTCCCTGCAATTTCCATTTAGTTCCGTGTTTTGCCTCTGGCTGCTTTCTTGCAGACCCTTGCCAGCCTCTAGTCAAAATGTGACTTTTCTAGACAGCATTTTGGGTCAGCTGACAACCCAAGGACAACTTTCCTTTCAGCTCGAGTGGGTGTCGTTGCCATGTTTGGCTTGTGTTCTTGATCAGGGTCTGTTTTGAAAATTCATCCGTTTCCATCTTTGGTGGTGTCTTAGTCCTTCTCTTGGGGGGATAGAATAACCACCCGGGAATCTTCCTGATTGGAAGGAAGCCTGGATTGAAACGTGCCAGTAAACCAGAACGGAGGTGTGCTAGAAGGCATGCATACAACAACACAACCCAAGATTTGACCCATTGTCCCGAACCCCAAATTGGTTCACCTTCCTTCTCACCTTCTCTAACAATGGCTTAGTCAATAATCTACAATTTGATTCACGTAACATACAACGTTGTAAGCCAAGTTTTCTGAATCACGAAGATCAAATTCATGCAACTTTTTAAATCCAACTTAATTCGTATTATAGACTAGTGCTTTGTATGAATTCAGTCATAATTTGTAAACACAGCTTATACTTTATTATATTGTCAAAACCGCACCATTATGATATTCAACAAATCAACTCAGCATTCTAACTCTTTGGCAGGATTCCTGGAACACATTACATCCTGATTTGTTCTGTTTTTACTCTATAAACCCATGTATTTTGGTTTGCAAGCCATAATTCAGGGCTTTAGTATACAATGCGAATCCAATTATCTACCAGTTAGTTAATAAATCATGATTAAGGTAAGCACATCAGTCCCTAAAATGGAAGAATGGGTAGAAAAAGTAATGGAACTAGCAGAGGTGGCAAAATTAACTGTTTTAATGAGAGAGAGGAATACATCCAGGATTGTTTCTACTTGGAAACCATTCTTGGACTTTGTGCTCAAGAGAAAAAAAAATGAAATCTTGACTTTGGGTTTTGCTGATTAAATTAGCTCCTGTTATAGAAATGGATAGTGCTTACTAAATTGGTAAAAGTAAAAAATTGAGGCGGTAATTTTAGTTTGTACTTTACTGTGCTGAAAAATGCTGGAAATCAATGCTTTTTTCCCCCTTTTCCGTCTTTTTTCCCCCTACATCTTTCCTTTTCCCATTTCCTTATCTATTTTTCTTTGTATTTTATATATGATAATCTTAATGAACACCCGTGTAATCTTGCAGATTAAGCCAAACGTGTCTTAACCTAAAGCTGATTTTAAAATGCAAGATTATGCAGGCCATTAAAACGGTTTTCAGAACATTTTCAAAATCCGTAGTCTGGAAGACGGAGCAGTAGATACCAAAGCACTCCTAAATATATCAGCCTCTCTTCCTCCTTCTCCTCCTCCTGTTCTCGCCTTTCCTGCCAGCATGTGTGCCTGTGTGCTGATAACTGACCAGCTTGTTATTTTAAGAGCAAGAATTCTAATTAAATAATTGGCGTGCTGGAAGATGGAGAGACGCTCAGTGTGTCCCTGGCCGGAAATTGCTCGCTTCTGCTCTACCATTCAGATATTTTCCAAAGATTTAGGCAGAAGCATCACTGTGTCCACCAGCCTAGGGCTCCCCAAATTGCTTAACTTCTGCCAGTGGATGGAAATCAAGAGTAAGGGTCTCGTTTCCTCCGGGGGGGGTTATTTCCACGGGTTAAAGGCAGAGAAACGGGAGGGGGGTTGGAATGGGGAATGTGCCACGTGTTCTTCCTTGGGGATACGACATGGCTGTGAGCATAGACAAGATTGGTAATCCCCTAAAGAAATAGTACTGCCCCTCCATCACCTACTCGTTCATCTTATTTTCAGGAGATCTGACACTGGATTCCAACAATTGGCAACCCCTGTGGAGCTCATTCCAGCCCTGAACTGGAAGCATGGAAATAGATTTTGCTAAGTCTCCAAAGTACGTTTGTCAAGGTAATGATTTAAAAGCTAACCAGCTGATGTAATGTAGATAGTGTAAGATAAACCACCATATTTTGGTCACCGCGATGGAAAAAAAATGTTGAGACTCTAGAAAGAGTCCAGAGAAGAGCAACAAAGATGATTAGGGGACTGGAGGCTAAAGCATATAAGGAACGGTTGCTGGGATTGGGTCTGTCTAACTTAATGAAGAGAAGGACGAGGGGGGACATGATAGCAGCGTTCCAATATCTCAGGGGCTGCCCCAAAGAAGAGGGAGTCAAGCTATTTTCCAAAGCGCCCGAAGGCAGGACAAGAAGCAATGGATGGAAACTAATCAAGGAGAGAAGCAACCTAGAACTAAGGAGAAACTTCCTGACAGTTAGAATAATTAACCAGTGGAACCACCTGCCTCCAGAAGCGGTGAATGCTCCAACACTGGAAGTTTTTAAGAAGAGACTGGACAGCCATTTGTCCGAAATGGTACAGGGTTTCCTGCCTGAGCAGGAGGTTGGACTAGATGACCTCCAAGGTCCCTTCCAACTTTACTATTATTATTATTATATAATATAGACCACTGTTTACTGTGTTTACTCCTGGGTTATCTCAGCGCAATAAGACTGTGCGTGCTCCGACAAGGTTGCTCAGACACTGATATAAAAAGGGTGGTAAGATCACAGTTTGTTAACACCCATAATAGATTCCTTGTCCATCTTGGGGTTCAGATCTTCTGAACCACCACCCCCCAAGATGGGACAAGGAATCTATGGGCCTTAACAAGCTACAATTCCCAGCTTCCTTCCTCTCTGGCTTCACTTCCTAGGAAGTGAACAAGGAAGTTATTTCTAGTGACAAACGGTCCTCGACTTATAACCATTCATTTAGAAACGGTTCACAGTTACGACGGTGCTGGAAAAAAGGGACGTACGACCAGACCTCGCACTTATGACCCTTATGGGGTCACCATTTGCAACCTTCCCAGCCGGCTTCTGACAAGCCAGGTCAACGGGGAACGTTGTGGTTCATTTAACGCCTGCGGCAAAAAGGTTGCAAAATCAAGGCTACTCCTGGGATGCCTCGCTTAACGACCACACTGCTTAATGATACATTTTACAGTACCTATCGTGGTCGTAAGTTGAGGACGACCTGTTGTGAGAATCTTTGCAGAGCCCAAATTGTTATGGCAACAAAGTTCAGCAATGACCCACATACTAGAGCTAGAGGCCCTTTGTCTTCTAAATGACGCACAGTTCT